CAAGGGGAGGATAGTCGGTCCCTTGTGCCACCAAGAAGGCAAAAGAAAGGACGTTTGAAAACGTGGGAGAAAGACGGGATCCGGAAGGAAGCATAAGTTGAACGAGAGGTCAGTTTGACTCAACCATTTCCCCGACTGCATGACTATAAGAAGAAAATGGGCTGATTGAGCAACAAGAGGGAACAAAGAGCAGCCAAGGAATTTGAAAAGTTAGACATGTGGGAAGGCCTATGTGTTGACCCCTAACGGGGGACATTATATGAATCTTTTTGCTTGTGTGGGATTGTGCAGGTGAGTAATGGCTAGAAATGCCTTGAGCGAGATAGAGACAAGAGGAACCGGGCATTAAGAGGAAAAGAAAAAGGGGACGAAGGGGCTATGGGACCCTTGACATAGAGTCAACCCATCATAATGACTTTTGCGCTTGAGACTTGGAAGTGTGATTGAGAGTGCAATCTTACCAAGGAATTGTGATGTTATGCGTGCATGCATATAAGGACCCCAAAAAGACTAAGAGGCCCACTTCAATAAGGAAAACAGCAAATTGTGAAACCCGATGGATGCGGTGAGGCGAGGGGGAGGACGGCTTCGCCGCACCCCGATGACGCCATATAGCCACATTGCTTAGGGAAATGGTGCGTGGCCAAAGGATGACGCTTAGCCTATGCACAAGAGAAGAGAAAACGCTCAAAGAATCCTTGGACTGCCTACGTATTGGAAGGAGCAATTGTATGAGAACACAACAAAGAAGCAAAAAAAATCAGCGTTACGGAACAACCAGAAAGATTACCACCTGGCGTGAGGGCTAAGCTACATCCCCAATGTCAAAGCTCTTCGCGCGATGGCCCACCCTCATCCATCTCAAAGCACTAGGTGGGGGTGACCTCGGGACGAACAGCCCGCCCCCCGAGCATGAGCATGGGTGGGCCGAGCCAACTGGGATCCGCAGTGGGATCGACTAAGGCTCGAAAGTCTACTGGGGTTTGGCCCTACAAAAGTGGTGGAGATGACGGGCATGGGGTTAAGCTGACCCTTACGATTCCGAGGGGGGCGTCCGACGCATTGACGTGTACATAACCAAAGATAAGGAAAATGGACTTGTGTTTGCTCTTTCCCTTGTGAGAAATCAGATTTGAGGGAGGCTGGGCGCATGGCATGACCAGGCCTGAAGGTATAACATGCATGCTATGCATTTGATCAGCCGTTCCTTTGAGGAATGACTCTAACCCTCCTTCGTCCGGTGTTGGTGTTCGCCAGTCCGGGGAAGCCTTGGGCAAGTCGCAGAGCGACCATTCCTCTTCGTATGAAAGAAGGACTCCGGTTACCTGGCAGGCGGTTGGTGCTTGGCTTAGACCAGGTTCCAATAAAAATCCCATGGCGGAGTGATCCGACCGAATGGGTTTTTTCCCCTTCTTCTTTGAGCTAAGCGGGCCTATGCACTTTGGACCTTTTTGATGATTGAAGAAACCAATATGAAGTTATGAACACAACAGGTCATCAAGAAAGAACAATCCTACCCTATGAAAGAACAGACAAGTGAAGAGAAGAGAAATGAAGGGAGTTGCTGGACTCCAAGGAAAACTAGCTCACCCTTGAAGATTCTCACGAGAAGGAACCAACCACTATGTATGAAAGTAGGGGGAGTGACACTCATTGCCCTGAGAGAAAATCTATAAGTTATGGGTAGAAAGCGCTGGATGCACCAAGGGAATGCCACTTGTACTATGTGTGTCTCACTTGGGACTTGTGTTTGCATGATGGGATTCGAGCGTCCTGCCTTTCGGAAGGAAAGGATTGGTCTGCACTGGCCAATGCGGGTTGTGAAACGTCGTTCTCTTTTGTAGGCTGCCGTGTGTTCGTATGTGGAGGTCAGGCCACCGAGCTGTCGGACGGGAGTTTGTCACGTCGGTTGATTAGTAGCATTCTTGTTCGAGCTGTGACAGGCTTCGACTCGATGATCTGCTGGACGGGGTGTGAAATCTCCTCAGGCGGGGCTTAGCCTGTTGGCTAGCGGAGGGAGTACCACTGCATGTGGACAAAGACGGAGTCTCGGAGACGATTAATAGCCTCTCGTAACATGGTTTTGAGAAAGGATGATTCTTGTCGGACCGATGGAAGTGAATGCCCGGACTGCTAACTTTGTCCCTGTATTTAGGCACTCGAGGTAACCCTCGGTGTCGATATCGATGTGTAAAGCGACGGGATGAGGTATTCTGGGTAAGGAGGAAAGAGCGAATGCCTTGCCGAGACCTGGGTACCGCGCTCACGACGGTTGAGTTGCGCTTGAGGTATGGCATAAAACTCTACCGATAGTACCAACGGAGACACCATATTGGGGATGGCCGGTGAGGAGATGATCGGCCCGTATGTGAGGTTGCCTGATTTTTTATGTGTTCCCCCTCTATAAAAATTGATTGAGTTCGGACTGTTGGACGGGACATATTTCTAAGTCTATCCCCCCCCCCATCTAAGTCCGCACGAGTGAGAGATAATTGGAAGGAAGAAGGATAGAGGTCAGTTGGAATGAAACCAAGAGAAAGAATGTGGGCAAATAGATGGCCGGCCGAGGGAATTATGGGAAGGAGGTACTTAGGAATGGGGAGGTAAAATAGGAAGACCTTGATGAGGGGTCTGAAATAATTCTCATCTAGGGCAAGGGTTGACCTGACCAAAAAGACCGGTTGATGCTCTTTTTATGAAAACATGGGTCGGGTGCTGAAAACAAGATGGCGCGATGGTTGTCTTCTCCGATCTATACTAGCGGCCCGGAAATGCCAGTAGATATAAAGGAAGGAGTATCGGTCGTCCTCCCGGAAAATGGAACGTGGACAGACCTTGAACCGGCATATCAAACGGTAATGCTAGAAGGAGAGGATGCTTTCCTTTGGATATAAACAATATGGACTAACGTCAGCTTGACGAGATTGTCACCAAGTTTAATGAATTTGGAATTCCGAGGGACAGTAGAAGCCCGGGGGTGGGTCTACTTGTCGCAAGATGGGGAGAAAGCTATAATCATAGAGTTGACACTCGGGAATACGCCGGACGACTTGTTTAGGAAGGCAGAAGCAGAGGTTATGTGGGCTGCATGTCAACAGAGGGAAATGGAAATGGAAAAGGTAGACGTACGGGTGAAACTTAGGGATAGAGGAAGCATGAGGCGACCCGTAAGAACTATGCCATGTGTGTTGCCCCCCTTCCTAGTGGATGCGGTTTTCGAAACTCGGAGCAGGCTAGTGCGAATATGTCAGTCCATGACGAACCTCGGGCTATACCAATGCGCTAGGCAAGATTTCTTTCGGTTATCAGTAGAGATGGGGCCGTTCGAGGGGAACTGGGCGGATGAGCTGACCGAGATACTAAACTGCCTTAGCATAGACAATATATTCGTCCCTAGTGTTGTGCATTGGGGGATAGTCTACAAGAATGTGGCAATAGGGGAGACGTTTTTAGATGGGGTAAGGGAGTTGGTATACGACGAGGAGGACGACTTCAGTGATGAAGACGAAGATGAAGAGATAGAGGACTGAGACTTCTAAAAGGGGTGGGGAAACTTAATTTAGGAAGGGCGGGTGGCCTGATATTATGCAGGAAAGAGAAAGATGACTAGAGAAGAAAGAATGATGGAATACACCTTCAAATGCTGGGAACCACGACGACTTAGAGGAGGAATAGAAATACCTATACCAATAGGGAACGGATAAAGAGGGACCACGTGCGACAGGATTGGGTTTGAGGTTGCCCGTGACTTGTCATATGTATGGATAGAGCGGATTTGGAACCCGATAAGGGAAGAGGAAGGTTGGGATGATATAGCAGAAGGCAAGGTAGAGTCAGTTGGAATGATTGTCCTTTTCGAGGATAGATGACACCTGTTTTGCACCATGTTAGCAATGAGACAGGACCCGATGTGGCTTCTAGGGGATGCAGAGGCCCGAACCCGAAAGGAAGGCAAGTTGTTCGCCAACGAGGGATGGGACGAAGTTAGTAGCAGAGTTGTGATGGGAGGATGGAAGGAACTTAAGCCTCCAAGTCTACGGATAACGGCTTGGGTACCGGAATTCATAGCCGAGTGGTTTGGGGGGTTTGAGCACATTTTAAAAGTAGCCCACTCCATGAGAAAGATGCATATAGAGTGTGTCTGGCTGACTGAGGAGTTCTATAGACTCTCATTGAAATATGGGCCCTTCTACACAGATAAAGCCGAGGAAGTCATCATCGTCCTAAGAATAGGCAGGAATTACCGCCTAGAAGTAGAGGTGGAGTCTTGGGGCGCCATAGTTAGTCGGGAGGCGGCGGCCGCGCCCTCCTACGTAGACGATGTCTTTAAACTATTTGAGGCACTGTGGTTCGACTGAATGAGGCCAAGGGATCAAACACCGCGAAAAAGCCTGAGCATGGAGGGTGTTTGTGAATTGAGGTGTAACATAAGAAAGGGAGTGTGTACATTAAACCGTAAATGGTGCATAAGGATCGAAACAAGGGGGAAGTGACAGCAACTGGAAAATGGGGGGGGGTAGAATTGAACGTGTATGAGCTGGGATAGCGGCAAAAACCAGTGTACGATAAGTAGAGAAGGTTGAAAGACTAAAACACGAAAGGCATGGAATCTCGGTGGGTGCAGCAATCAGACTAAGAAAGCAGGAAAGAAGATATTGCGAGATGGCCCGGCGAATGACGTTCTGGGAGGATAGATCTCGTGGGATCCTGCCACCAAGAATATCAGACGGCAGGGTCGAAATAAGCCTGCCAACAAGAAATGCGGTAAGCAATCCGGTAATGGACTGGGTGGGGGTAGAGTTGGTGGAAGATACAGTGTACCTAGTAGTGGAGGTGGAATGGCGTGCGAGAGGGGAGTTCGGGGGCGTAGACTTAAACCTCCCAGGGCATGTACATGCGACGGGATCCTTACACCTGTCAGAAGAGGGATGGCGGACCTTTGGGATTGCTTTGGCTTCCGGGGATGACCCCGTGCGAATGTTCGAAGGGGCATGGCAAATAACCTGGCGGAAGGGGTTTGAGTTTGCAGACCCGGAACGAGATGACGTAACGACAGAGGTAAGAGTCGCCGCGGTGGAGGTTTTCGAGCTGCCAAATGAGATCATACGGATGAGTCTACCACCCTTCCTGCTAAGACGAATGGGAGGCATAGGACGAATGGAGCAGGCGGTGACTGCCGTAACTAGGCTAAACTTTGACGAAGCATTAATATATCGTGAATACTATCGAGCCTTCCTAGAGATGGGGCCTTTCGGGGACGAACAAGGGCGCGAGGTGCTTTGCATTCTACGAGCAGCGGTAAATGCTAGGCCAGGGGTCCCACAAATAAGTGATGAGACGATGTGGAGAGTCATCCGGTGAGAGGTAGGTCGGGGCGCGACCTACATAGATGATCTCTACCGGCGGTACAAACAACCAGAGGAGGCTACTGCTCCCGGGGGTATATAGGGATAGTTGGGACTAGAAAAGAGAGATGAAAACACGAAGGGTAAGGGAGACAGTAGGTGGGCAGATTCCGAAGATTGGTTGTAACCCTTTTTATGTGGACTATGCAGGGAATCACCAAGGTAACAATGGCAGCAAGACGTGAGCGAGTGGAACATCAGCCCCGTGTGCGAATGGAACGCCAGCCCCGGTACCCCGAACCGGCCTGGGACGATGGAAAGTATCCCTCCCGTCGAGTTCTACCTATCGGGGGTTCGACACAGAATGGTGGGCCGTGACTTTGGAAAGAGACGCCGCCTTCATGTTGGTAGAATGTCGGTGGACAGGGATAAATCTCAACAAAGGACCCAAAAGACGATTTGTTCTCCAATCTGGAAGTTACCGGGACCATGTATCTGCCTGAGATCGGTTGGGACTCGTTGGGGGTAGAGATAGCACAAGGTCACGAGCTGGCACCGGTCTTTCAAAGGGCCGCCCGGACGTTGACCCGGATAGGACAATCGGTCAGGGGAAGAAGGAATGTAGGCTTACTAACCCGGGTGGAAATGGGAGGTTGGAGGGAGTTCAGGGCACCGACCACACCGCTGAGGTGTCAAGTGCCCCGTTTCATGATAGACCTCGTCTTCGGAAGCCTCGCAAGGGCGCGGGAGCTGGCAGACTCGGCGATAGTTTAGGCAATCCACTTTCCCTCCTATACCATTGGGATGTTCTACGATGTCGCTGTGGAGCACGGACCGTTCTGGGGAAATAGGGCCCACGAATTACTAGAAGTCATCCACATCCTGATGTTTTGTGCGCCCCGGCTAGACTGGACGAGGTACGAACGCATAATCCAAAGGGAAATCGAGATAGGGGAGAATTATTTAACAGGGGTGGCTCAACTATTCGAGGAGCCTACCGAACCGGAAGGACCACGAATGCGAGAACGGGACTAGCACCCGCAGGCGAGCCAGTAGGGCAAATCAAACACAGTCCGCTACGTTCGAAAGCCATCAACAGAAATAGGAAAGGGGGGAGGGGGCTCGGACCCGGATGATCAATAACCGCCAGACGAGGAACACCGTGCGGAAAAACTTTTTCCAGCGGGTTGCCCAACCCTGACCCCTATGCACCGACCAACGGAATAAGGGCGCTCTAAACAAGCCGGTGATAAGGGAAGTTAAGTCATGCCCTTAGCTCAGTGAGGCAGCAGAGCCGGACGCGGCTCCATATTAAGAAAGCCATCAGAAAATGAGAATGGGAAAAAACCTAATTACCAAGTAAAAGGATAAACCAACAGGCTCGGAACCTAGGGAACCTAAAATGCCTCCAACTGCGTTTGTTCTGGATAATCCTTTGGTTATGCAGAAGTAGGCAAGTATGGCAACGGAGGACGAGACGGGTAATCATGAAAACGAGGGAGGACCAGGCTTAGGAGGCAGTGCTGAGCAAAGCAAGGAAGGGCAGAAGGACAGGGAATCAGCAAATCCGGATGGCACCAAAGGGAACCGGAAGAAAATGTCCTCCGGAGAGAGCTCGGGAAAAGTCGGGGGAAGCAGACAGGGGACCCAGGAAAACAAGGAAGGCAGGAATAAGGATAGGGGGAGCCCTGGGAACTCGGAGGGAGCTGTGTCTAAGAAAGTAAGGGTCACGGACGCGAGGCGCAAACTAGCAGAAATAGATAAAAGGACCGCGGAATACAAGGCAAGGTTAATTGAGGCAATGATGATTGGGAACACGGAAGGCTGTCTGCAGGAGGTACCGCGGGACGAACGGAAAACCAGCCAGGGCGGAATTGGGCAAGGGGACAAGGATAGTGACCGTGGGGGAACGCCGAGCAAAAGAAGGAAAGAGAGAGAGAACTCGCCGGGAATGGAGGCAGAGAAGGCGACGAACCCCTTAGCCACATACAGTAGGGCTATCGGTCTGCCGACCTCGCCAGCGGTATCGCGGGGATGCGAAGGCTCTGAAGGGCTCTGGAGCCTCAGAGAAAGGGAGTTGGGTTGGTTCGACCCGGAAGGAACGGCAAAGACTAGAGGGGGGCAGAAAGCCAGCAAGGAAGGGGTAGATACCAGCATGGCAGGCGAGGCCAGTAGCTCCGAAGGTGGCCTTAGGAAGATAGTATCATCCCTCACACGAGGACTGAACAAGAACCAAGGCTATTTGGCAGACGTCAAGAAAAAGTTAACTTTCGATGGAGCAAACATCACGGAGTTCCTGATCGACTACGAGAACCTAGTTGCGTTACTAAAGTGGACCGAGGAGGAAAAGATGGACCATCTAGGACAGCATGTGTCGTTAAGCCTAGGACGGGACATAATGGCCATTGTAGCCGCAACCCGGTCTTGGGAGAAGACCCGGGATGTGATGATGAGGAAGTACCTAGCGGCAGAGAAAATGGCAACGGAGGCCGACCTAGCGGCAGTTCAGAGGAAGAACTTCGCAACGTACAATGATTTCCTACGGGAATTTACTCTAGTAGCACTAAGGATCCCCGGGGTCACGGACCGGATAATGAGCAAATATTTCCTCAGGCAGTTCTCCGAATTCGACAAAGACAAGATCATGTCAGCTTACCAACAGACGAGCAAATTCGTAAACACGCGGGATGTTGATTTTAGCACGGTAACAGATCTGACTGAGAAAACGGTAGTAACAGAAACGTTGGCCTTGCTCAAGGAAGGGGAGAGCATAGATCTGACAGGTAGGGCGGGCGACAAGGTAAAGAAGACGATTGAAAATCTACATGAACGGGTGCACGGAGTCGACAATCAAATTGAAAGGATGGAAGACGCGCTACTGGTTATGCAGGCGCAAGTATCCCGACCCGCCCTCCCTCCCCAGGAAGCTGTGCTTCCGTCAGGTGTAACCAACCGGGGATTCGAACGGAGAGATCCTGCTTACGAGCGATGCAAGTACTGTACCGCGATAGGACATTATGTGCGCGCGTGCCCAGAGCTCAACCATGATATTCTGAAAAGAAGGTGTACCAGGTCATTAAAGAGGGAGATATTTGGACCACAAGGGGAACGGGTGAACAAGAACTCGCCAGGAGGGATGCGGCGATCCATTATCATGCTCAACGGGTCAGAAATAACAGTCGTAGAAGCCAAACCGGTGGGCGAGATCATCTGGGATCAACTCCGGGGGCGCGGGCCGCAGGCCAACTTTATTTTGGAAAGTGACGGACGTGATAGGGTGAACGCAACCACTCGACCGGGAACGGCCGGGAGAAGGATTAACCTTGACACCATTATGGAGGAGGTCGCCGGAAGCTCCGAACCTCAAGCAGAGCCTTAGGCCGAGGAACCAGAGAAAGTCTATGGGAAGCCTAGAGAAGAGGAGCCTGGGGACAAGCTTACCGCCGCTAAAAAGAAGTTTCGGTATCAAATCCCGATCTTAACCTTGCCTGAGCTCGACGACACCATTAGCAAGTTACTAGGAACTATGGTGTCGGTGTCTTTTCAGACCATGCTGCAGGCTAGCCCTAGGTTGCTCAAAGAGCTCAAACAACTGTTGACTCGGAAGCGAGTAGAGATAGGCGACAACCCCGAATTACCAGAAGGGGAGAGGGAGGAGGAAGTTGCGTAAGAAGTGGCTAACCTTCAGAGGGGTCACGGGGACTTGGAGGATCTCGAAAAAACCTTCGCAGACATTCATTTGAGCTTGCCCGACCGGAAGGGCGGCGAAGTCATGATATCACCACCCGGGACAAAGCTTAGCTTTCATGCACTGCCCGTAGGGAAAATGAAAATCCAGATCAGGAGTCATCATACCGACGCATTAGTAGACAGGGGAGCAGAAATCACTCTCATAAGGAGAGTTTCGCAACGATCACGGGATGTACGGTAAACAAGGAAGTAACAAGGAGCATCCGGGGAGCTAGCGGGGAAATTCCGTTCGTTGGGTACGTCACGAAGTGTGCTTTGAAGGCAGGGGTCAGGGAATCAATTTGGTCGTTTCAGCGGATGACCGTAATGGAGGAAATGGACCACGACATAATCCTCGGGAGACCGTGGTGTGCGAACGTAGAAATGATAGGCATTCACTTGCACGATGGCTCGTACATGGTAGACATAGAGGACCTTGTGACCGGCCGGGGAGAGCTCCTCCGACTCCTTGGAATGGGAGGAGACCCCCCGAAGGGCAAATTGGCAGCATGGTCGCCGTCGTTCGAGGATAGCACGCGAAAAGGGGCTTTCGCACGGATGGAGGGTATGAGAGTGTCAGAAATCGCACTCGAGATCCCCGATCTATTGCAACTCATCAAGGCCCTCAGGTACCACAAGGTAGGAGTGGATTCGGCAGCCTTGGCCAAGTTCGAAAGAGAGGTGCAAAAGGGGTATTGCCTGAATGGAAAACTAGTTAGTATTCAACCACGAGTCATAGAGGCAACGGGGGCAATTCCGACTGTTCATTTTTTAGGAGAAAGATCCCGGAAGGAAGTGTTTGAAAGTACAAGCCGGTAGGGAAGAAAGCAAAACCGGTCTCGATCCTACTAGAGACATCAAAGGAAGAGGCTATGGAGAAGGAGAAAGAGGTCCTTCGAGTGATCCGAGAAAGAAGGGCGACGGAGGGACATCGAATACCAGATGAGGTAGCTGACACAATGAAGATAGGGATAGACGGGTTCTTAACAGAAGAAGAAACCCGCCTGATCAAAAGGACCTGCCAGGAGTTTCACCTGGCATTTGCCTTTAGTGATCACTAGAAGGGACGACTGAATGCGAAGTTGATCCATCCGGTCAGAATCCATACGGTAGAACATGAGTGCTGGAATGACAAGGGGTCATCCTATGAATTTGGGATAGCAGGAGAAGTAACAGACCTCCTCTGAGCAAAGATGGACTCCTTCGTTGCGGAGCCTACGACATCGCCATATGCAAATCAGTGGTTTGTCTTTCGGAAGCCCAACAAGACAGTAAGGTGGATTGAAGACCTGCAGAAGTTGAATGCGGTAACCATCCGGGATGCTGGCTCGCTACCTCAGGCTGACTTATTAGCAGATGCGCACGCCGGTCGGAGCATTTACTCCCTGATAGATCTGTACTCGGGGTATGACCAACTTCCGTTGGATGTTTGGGACAGGTCGTACACCGCTATGCACACCCCCGTAGGCCAACTACAGATGCAAGTGACCCCTATGGGATTCACAAACGCGGTGGACGAAGCGCAACGCAAGATGCTCGCAGTGGCAGGGGACATTTTCCTAGAAAAATGTGAGCCTTACATCGATGACAATCCGATCAAAGGCGCGCAGGAGAAGGACGAGACGAAAGTCCAACCAGGGATCCGACGTTTTGTGTGGGACCACCTACAGGACATCAAGGACTTACTCAGCCGGTTCCTAGTATACAACATTACGGCTAGTGGACCGAAGAGTATACTTCGCCGGTTCCTAGTATACAACATTACGGCTAGTGGACCGAAGAGTATCCTAGCAGTACCAGAGGTAACTATACTAGGATTCCGTTGCGGTGCTTACAGCCGGAAGCCGGATCCAAAAGACCGACAAGATATCACAGTGGCCGACACCGCTGCGCACGACAACGGAGGTAAGGGCATTCCTAGGCGTAGTCGACTTTTGGAGGATCTTCATTAAGAACTTTGCCAAGATTGCTGAGACAGTTGCCCTGTCCGCGCCTTGTTTTAATGACGAAGTAGGACGACCCTTCATCCTAGAGACGGATGGAGGACCTTTGGCCATGGGAGGTGTGTTGATTCAAAGGGATGAGGGAGGAAAAGAGAGATCGATAAGGTTCGAAAGTAGAACCCTGAACTCCGCAGAACGGCAGTACTCGCAATTCAAGAAGGAAGTTTTAGTCATCCTGCATTGCCTTAAGACCTTCCAGGCCTACCTATTTGGGAGGCGGTTCATCTTAACGATCGATCCGACGAATGTCGCAGGGGCTCTAAAGAATTACAGGCCTATAGATTCGACGGTGAGATGGGTAGGATTCATCTGGCAGTTCGATTACAAGATTGAACGGATTGTTGGAATCCGCAACAAGGCAGAGGGGCTGAGTCGGGTTTGCATCACGCCCGAAGAGATGGAGGATGCAGAGCCCATAGACGCAATTCTCGAATACGAAGGAGGGACTCTCACGGTGGATAACGAAATGATGAGCAAGGAATGCATATCGAGAGAGCTATTGATCCAGACTTTGGAGAAGAGGGCACCTGCCATAGTGGCAGAGCTTAGAGAAGGATCAGTTACCACTCGAGGACGCAGAGAAGAAAATGGCTCATGGGGAGCGATAGTAGGACCGAAAGAGGAACTAATGGCAATGGCGGTCGAGGGAGGCCGGGAAGCAGTAATGAGCTTAGTGGAATCTTGGAAAAGGAAGGAGTTGCAATGGGTGGTAAACCAGATGCAAGAAGGAAAGGATGGGGGCAAGGAAGGAGAGGAGTTTTTCTGTGTCCAACCATACGAAGGGCTCTTTCGGGCGATCGGACTATTGTTGGTCGGAAACAAACAACCTACGGAAGTCGGTATTAAAGCAAGAGAGGAAGCCAAAAGGTACGTCCTAAGGGGTGGGCATTTGTTCCGAAGGGAGGAAGGTGCTATGCCCAGAAGGGTTGTGTGCGGAAGACCTAGGCAAGTAGATGTTATCCATGCAATGCACGACGGGTTAGTTGGAGGTCATCGGTCGTCCAAAGGAACCTTTCCAAAGATAACGCCACTCTATTATTGGCCAGGCATGGCATGCATGGTCGCCATATACTGCCAGACTTGCCTTATTTGCCAAGAACGAAGCTCGGTGCGGGTCTTCGAGCCGTTTAGACCAACGCGAGTGCTAGGGCCGGGGCATCTGGTCTACCTCGACCTTTCGGCCATGCCTGTATGAACGGATGGGTACAGGTATATCCTGGATGCGCGAGACAACCTGAGCGGGTTCGTGAAGGCAGTCGCCCTCAAGAAAAAGACAGGGAGGAGTGTGACGGACTTGATAGAAGACTTCTACTTGAGGCATCCGTTCGTCAGGAGGCTTATAGCAGACAATGAGACGGAGATTGTGAACTAAGAAGTATTGGGGATGCTTAAGAGACTTTGTATACCGATCAAACTCATCGAGTTGTATCACCCTGAGGCCAACGCACCTGTGGAAAGGGGGCACCGAACCTTGAAGAAAACGATTGCGAAGCTCGCATAGGTATTTTAAGCAGGCTGTCTTTGCAGAGAATATGACCCCTAAAAGGACAACAGGATGTATCCCGGCAGAGCTTTGGTACGGAAGAGAGATCGACTTTCCTGTGGAAGCCTTAGTACCTACCTGGAATAGGTTAGATGATGATCCGCAAATGACCACTGAAGAGTTAATCGAGGCAAGATGTCAACAGATCCTTAAGAACGAGGAGGTCATGGAAGACATCGCCAACCGGGTACTAGACAGCAGAATGAGGGAGAAAGCAATGTGGGACCAGGTTAAGAATGTCAGAAAGGAGCCACTTCAAGTGGGAGAGATGGTATTGCTAAGGAACTCTGCACTAGAAACTACTTGGTCAGGACAACTGGGAAGGAGGTTCAAAGACCCCTACCGGGTCGCCAAGCGGGTGGGACTGAACACCTTCGAACTGGAAGATTTGGATGGAACTGGATTGAAAGGGCCCTTCCCGGGGCAATGATTGGTTATGTTTCTAAGTCGGGACCCAGTGGAACAATGGCTTCAGGAGGTCGAAGATAAGGAAACTTAGGAGCCACAAGCTAAAGACTGACCACGGCCTTGACCACACTATGGTTTGTCTCTGACCATGTTCATGGGACTGTCATTTTTTTGGGGACTTACGCTTTGGCTTGGACTGACTGAGGTTGAAAGACAGCGTGACTTGGGGGTTTGCAATATCTGGCTTGTGAGACAACGGGAAGGAATGTCTGGGGCATTGTACCATAGTTTTTTACGGGAAAAAAATGGGGTCATCGCAAACGACGCGTTCATATGTATAATAGGGGGCACGCTGCAAAGGATGTTAGGAGCATTCTGGGAAAAAGGGGGGGGGGACTACCTACCAGACTGGGGGAATGGGTGCATGAGGGGTTTTGCGGGTGTTGTTTTGTTATACAGGATCTAAAAGAAAAGAGAAGACGGAGTTCGGTGACGAAAATGACAGCGGGGCAATCAACAGGCCCACCGGAGGGGAGGAAGCAGGACCAAGCCAAGGAAGGAGAGCGGCAAAGAGAAAGTTGTATATAGGACTCATGGGTGGCCCGGTGGTAGGTAAGGAAGGAAGGAATGCTTGTGCAGGAAACCCTCACCCCTCCGCGAGGGAGAAGGTATAAAAATCTCGTCTGACAGTGAGGGAGGGAAGAAAAAGGCAGAAGTGGAAGAGGGAGGCAATGCAGAGATGGGAAATAAAGTTCAGGTCTCTGACGAGGAAGGAATCAACAGGGGCAAGCGACGTGAGACTTGGCATGGGGAAAGCGAGGGGGGAACAAGACATGCGCGATGAATATGAGGAGAGTGAGGAAAGAAGGGAGAGCCCGCTTGAAGGACGAAGCGGCCACGACAGTTGCGAGGGGTATGAGATAGGGACAGAGATTTCTTTTACCTACGATCCAAAGAACCTTGTAGGTGGGTATAGCCCCATACAGACAGAAGATGAGGAGGACGAGGAGGAGGATGTGCGGGAAGTCATAGAAATCAGCAGCGGGGATGAGAGGTATGAAATCTTGAGGCCTAGGGAAGAGGGGCAGCCTCCGATGCACCAGCCGGGCGACGGGGTTTTCAGATGGGAGGACGAGTTTGGACCGACGCCCAGTCATTGGTTTCAACAATGGACCAATGTGATCAGACACGAATGGATTATCAAGACTCGGGAACTCGCAAGGGCAGGGGTGGAAGCCACACCACTGGATTTTTTCAACGAGGCAGAGTTACGGAAAATTGTAAGGATAAAAAAAGAAATCGAGACCTACGGTCTGGGGGTTAGAAAGTCTGTCGAGGAACGGGGTGGACAAGGGACTGGGCAAGACGAGGCGCAAGGCAGCAATAGGAATTAGGTGTTGACTTAACATTGAAAAGGATCGTTGCTTTTCTGTCTGCGGAGACATGAGAATGACAAGAACGTGTACAGTATGGGCAAGCTTGCTAAGGATGAAGTGAAAAGAGGGTCAACTAAGGCTGTATCGCGATAAGATAGAAGATAGTTTTTTAGGCTACTTTTTTTTGGATGAGCTACCTTGGGTACATAAGACAAAGACATGGGATTTGGGATGAGACCAATTGGGAGAGAGTGTGTTGTGAATTCTGGATGGAATAAAAATTATGCTTTTGAGAGGGGAAAACCTTGAGTACGGATTGACAAGTGAACCATGACATTGAATGATTGGTCGAGTACAGRAGAGGTTAGGGAACCTATGGGTTAAGGGGCGTGAAGAACACTCCTTCCCTAGGAGCCTAATCCAACTAAGTCATGAACGAGACCAAGAATAGCTGAAACCTGAGTGATCAGAAAGAGTGGAAATGGAAGAGGCGCCTTCATCTTTTGTTATGGATGAACGGCCGGGTGGGCTAGTGCTGCTTGGGGTCGCGAGCCCCAACTCGAGTGCTAGACGCTAAGTCGGATATACGCATGGATGGTACATTACTGTGAGAAATAGAATGGATAGTACATTACTGTGAGAAACGGAAGAAAGAGAACAGCACGCAAGAGATGAGATGGCCACTTTCTAACCTCCAAGACAGAAATGAGATCCGTAACGTCGAGGCCCACCCCCTCGGGCACTAACATTGAGAATGGAAAGGAATAACCCTAACCAAGCTGTTCCACTTGAGAATGGAAAGGAATGACCCTAACCAGGCTGTTCGACTTGAGAATGGAAAGGAATGACCCTAACCAGGCTGTTCGACTTGAGAATGGAAANCCCTAACCAGGCTGTTCGACTTGAGAATGGAAAGGAATGGCCCTAACCAGGCTGTACGACTTGAGAATGGAAAGGAATGACCCTAACCAGGCTGTTCGACTTGAGAATGGAAAGGAATGGCCCTAACCAGGCTATTCCACTTGAGAATGGAAAGGAATGGCCCTAACCAGGCTGTTCGACTTGAGAATGGAAAAGAACGACCCTGACCAGGTTGTTCGGGAATGACCCCTGACAAGGGTCATCCCTTTTGAAATAGGCACTGGGGTCCCCTGCATATTTGATTGAGAATGTGTTGGAATGAGCAATAAGAGATGGAAAAGGGTCGGTGGGTCGGTCATTGAAATAGTCAATGGGATGAATGGAAAAGATGGAAAAGGCGGTGGGTCGGTTATTGAAATAGCCAATGGGATGAATGGAAGAGATGGAAAAGGTTGGTGGGTCGGCCGCTGAAATAGCCAAGGGGGCGGAAGAAAGATGTGAATGCGAAGGACAGGATAAAGAAGGCGAAGTCTTAAAACCGAGAACGGCAGGGACCGTTGGGACGGTCACAGAGATTGGGTGCTGAGGAATGAGAGAATTGAGGAGTGAATGGGCGGAAGGGGCAGTCTTGAGAAATGACTATTGAGAAAACGACCGCCAGACTGGCCATGTGGGTGGCTTTGTTGATGAGAGGCTGTCGGACCAGCCATGAAAATCAGCCTTGAAAATAGCATGGGATTGAGTGTTTGAAGATTGAATATTGCATTGCATAGCCAGGGGACCCTAGGCAACTTGATGTAAGGTCGTCGGGCGGACCATGGAAATAGCAAGAGATTGAGCTTTCTCTTTTTTTCTAGTCTTAGGTCTCAACAAAAGGGGGATAGCAATGCCTGCATCGCAATCCCAAGACCTCTACCCGCTCATAAGAAGGAATGAGGGTTGAAGGACCAAAGCACCTCTCTCTTTGATTGATGCTGGTCATCCGGAACCAACCCCGACAACGAACTCTAATGGGGGAGTTCAAACTGCGCCTCATGTTGAAACCTAAACGTCAACGGCGTGGTGCCAAAGTGGGAGAGCCATTCTTTTTCCTAAGTCTCATTTTTTCTCCCCAACCACACGCCATACCGTAGAGGGGCGGCATGCCCGTTTGGAATGGACCACGGCCGCTCGCGTTAAGTTGAGCAGCACTATCCAGAGGGAGGAATCGGGCGTGGTACAGGATGGAAGCCGCAACCACCACAGGGCGAGTGACACCGTTCTGCCGGAGCATTACAACCGTTCCGGGACTAACCGCGAGGTCTTCGTAACTGCACTCGGAGACTAATAGAGAGCCCCAACTCTCTTGAAAAGAAGAGGCCGGATCCAAGAAAACACCTCTCGGGAGGAACGATTCGCGAGAAAGCACTTACGGCAAGATGGGGTCCTAGGAGGCTTGGACAGGACCTACCTTCCAGATGTGGGGTGGTACCTCAGTAATGATGCCCGTCTCGTAAGCAGCAAAAGGTCGGACTGGAGTCGGGGATGAGATGAGTTATCAGCAGGGGGAGGACTGATCACCCTTCCTTTTTGGGGCTGATGGGCCGGCATCCGTCTACTCAGTTGGTGGACCAAGGTCTACGTACCTCCGAGTGAGAACTAGTCATGCGATGGGGACATGGCATTTTGAGTGGGGGGAAGGTGTGCCATCTACTGAAGAAAAAGCGTGCAAAAGAGAAGGATACCATGAGCGTAAGAATGGGTGAGTAATTGACTTTGCACAGGCTTGGGAAAAGGCATGACAAGATGTCCAGAAGAAAAGAATACATGAGTAATTGACTTTGCTCAGGCTTGAAAAAAGAGTCTGGCAAGATGTCCAGAAGAAAAGAATGGATGAGTAATTGACGTTGCGCAGGCTTGAGAAAAAGTTTGACAATTGACGTTGCATGAGCTTGAGAAAAGGCCTGACAAGGTGTCCAGCTGAGGAAAAGATGTGTGAATGACTCTGCATGAGCTTGAGAAGACACCTGGCAAGATGTCCAGGAGAGAAATGGATGAGTATATGACTTAGCATGAGCTTGAGAGAAGGTCTGGCAGGATGTTCAGAAAAGAAAGATATATGAAATTGGCTTTGCGTAGACCTAAGGAAAAGTCTGGCAAAACCCCCAGAAAAGAGATACATTATAATGGACTTTGCATGGGTTTGAGAGAGGCCTGGCAAGAGGCCAGAAGAAAGATGTGAATAAGAGGGACTGA